AACAGCAAACTTCATCCCTGCTTCCCCTCTTTCAAATTCCCAGCCCCCTATGAATGGTGTGGGCCCCAAAACAGTTCCAGCCAGATTTGCCCCAAAGGCTATAAGTTTAACACTTCATAGAACTCATAGAAAATTAGGGTTGGAAAGGACCTCAGGTGGTCATCTAGTCCAACCCCCTGCTCAAATCAAGACCATCCCCAACTAGATCATCCTTGCCACGGCTTTGTCTAACTGGGTCTTGAAAACCTCCAAGGATGGAGACTCCACCACCTCTCTGGGTAACTTGTTCCAGTGCTTCACCACCCTCTTAGTGAGAAAATTCTTCCTAGTATCTAAGCTAAATGTCCCTTGCTGCAATGCTCCTTGTTTCGTCATTGGCCATCACTGAGAACAGTTTAGCTGCATCCTGTCTTCAACCCCACTTAAGGTAGTTGAAGGCTGCTATTACATCTCCCCTCAGTCTTCTCTTTTCTAGACTAAATAGGCCCAGTTCCCTCAGCTGTTCCTCGTAAGTCATGTGCCCCAGCCCCCTCACCCTTTTTACTGCCCTCCACTGGTCTCTCTCCAATTTGTCCACATCCTATCTGTAGTGGGGGGCGTAAAACTGAACACTTCAGATGTGGCCTCACCAGTGCTGAATAAAGGGGAATAATTACTTCCCTTGACCTACTGGCAACACTCCTACCAATGCAGCCCGGTATGCTGTAATCTTTTTTGGCCACAAGGGCACACTGCTGGGTCATATTCAACTTCTTATCTCCTTAACCCCCAGGTCCTTTTCTGCAGAGCTGCTGCCCAGCCTGTCAACCCCCACCCTGTACCACTGTATTGCCTTCCCAGCAGATGTCAGGGTGATTGAAGTCCCCCATGAGAACCAGGGCTTGTGATTGGGAAACTTTCCTTAGCTGTTTGAAGAAAGCCCTCCTCCACCTCATCCTTCTGGTCTCGTGGTCTATAGCAGACCGGCACCACATCACCTTTGTTGCTCTTCCCTCTGACCCTAACCCAGAGACATTCAACAGGCCTGTCTCCAGTTTCATACTGGAGCTCTGAGCAATCATACGGCTCTTTATATAAAAGCACAACTCCTCCTTCTCTTCTCCTCTGCCTGTTTTTCCTGAACAGTTTGTACGCATCCATGACAGTGCTGCAGTCATGTGAGCTCCCACCAAGTCTGTTATTCCAATCATGTCATAGTTTCAGGACTTCCCATTCTTCCTGCTTGTTTCAAAGGCTCCGTGCATTTGTTTTACAGGCACCTGAGGTAACTAGTTGATTGTCCTGACTTCTCAGGAAGTATGAGAGCACCTCCTTTGTTTCCCCTTCCTCCTTGCACTTCCTCCAGGTCTCCCGCTTCCCTACTTACCTGAGGGCTTTGATTTCCATCCCCCCGCAAACCTAGTTTAAAGCCCTCCTCACTAGGTTAGTCAGCCTGTCTGCAACTACTTCACAGTTAGGGCGGCTAGGAGCTGGAACCAACTTCCTAGGGAAGTGATGCTGGCTCCTGCCCTGGGGATCTTTAAGAAGAGGCTTGATGACTACCTGGCTGGAGTCATTTGAGTCCAGTCTTTTCTCCTGCCCAGGTGGGGGGTCGGACTTGAAGATCTACAAGGTCCCTTCCGACCCTACTTCTATGATTCAAAGATGCTTTCCCCTGTCTTTGTCAGGTGGATCCTATCTCTTCCCAGAAATCCTCCTTCTTGGAACAACATCCCATGGTTGATGAAGGTAATCATCCTGGCGACCCTGTGCAGCCAGATGTTGATCTGCAGGATGCACTTGCTCTTGCCTGGGCCCTTTCCCTTGACCAAGAACACTTTTTCCATTGTTCAGCACTTCTGTCACTCGTTCTTGAATACTAACTTCTTTGCCTGGAACAGTGCCTTTTTGTTGTACATTGTACCATAATTGGCTCTTCTTTCAAAGTCCTCCTCTGTCCTTTTTAACCATTCACTCTCCTTTTTCCTTTCTCCTCCCTCTCCCAAAACCCAAGGCAGGTCAAGCCAAACCAAAACAAGCACACAGTCCACTCCTGCAGCCCATATCTGCTTCAGGACCTGGCTGTGATACAGGAAGTGTCAGGAACCATAGGTAACATTGTTAGAGAGTGTGTCACCAGAGAGTGCTATCTCCAGTTGTCACATAATCCCTTTGGGGGACCATAGCCAGTTGGGACAAATTAAGAGCAGCACCAGGCTGATAACATGTCATATAGGTTTGGAACAGACTCTGGGAGCAATTAGTCTATTATGGATTCCTAGCTCTTTTTGCATGTATTCAGTGCTACTTTGCAGATATGTGAAGGAGGAAATTCATTCTTTCTCAGGCCACATGCCAGGGTTTAGGCAGAACTAATCTAGCTCTTATCCTAGTCTTCCCACGGCGCACATAATCTGGCAAGGAAGCAAACTGTTGAACAGCCAGGCAGCAGGCAAATATCTGGGGAACTGGCTGCTGAGCACTGACAGCAGGGAAATGAAGACAGTTAGTTACTTAGGGCACTCCCAGTTCACATCAGAGCAGTTCTTGGGGCTGCAGGGTGGCTCTGGAAGGCAGTTCCTGAAGTGATGTCCTCTGTAATTTCACTCTAAAGATTTGAATCAAACTCTTCAATTTAAAAATCACAAGGAATGGCTTTAAAGAGCACGATATCAATTCATGAGATACAATTTGTTACAATACAATTGCTCTCAGTGGTTGAACTGGAGAACCTCCAGGTTGACATGCTGGCCGCAAATCTTGTAGGCTCTGATTAAATAGAGCTAGCTGCTATGACTTTGGCATATAAAAAGTATGTGGGTAAGGAATAGGTTTCAGTTAGCTTTAAAAAAAAAATCTTTTCCTGAATACATTCTGAGATTAGCTATTTAGGAAAAAAGCAATGATTACCTTTTTTTTATTTATTACTTGTTTTGTTAGAAAAGACATTGTGTTAGTATCTAACGGTCCTAATTGAGCTGGTGGCCCCACTGTGCTAAGAGCACAGGAAATGGGCGTCAATTTATTTAGTTTTTTTCCCTTAAAAAGCTGGGAAATACTGTATACCTTACAGGTAACTTTTAAGATATATAAAGGGTTTGGGAGGGGTGTGTGTGTGTGTGGGCACATGTACATTTGTGTACATATGCTTGTGTGTGTGGGGGTCCCATTTTATTGCTACTGATATTTGCCTCTCAGGTGTGAAATGTCTAGAATGAAGTAATTTATTATATATTAATTCTGGTTAACCAGACATGATTCAGGATTTTCACAGTCTGCGACAGATTAAGTATTCATTAACATTTAAGACCATTAAATGGCACAGTTGAGCAATAAATGATGCATTTAGTTCCTGTTAAGGAAATGTGTGTTGAAGTTTGTGAATACAAGATAAGTGGTGGCTGTCTTTGTTTTAAATTATTTTTCTCAACTTTATTTATTCTTTGTACTTCATTGACTTGCTTTTTTCTCCTCTCTCTTTCTGAAACAGAAGAAGAAGTGGAAAATTTTGATGTTTCCAGTCTGCCTGAAGAAGTGCTGCAGAACATTGAAGCTGACAGTTATTGGTGCATGAGCAAGTTGCTTGATGGCATTCAGGTAAATTGATTTCTCCTGTCCTTAACTAGTGGAGATAACTGATTAATGTCAAGGCTTTGAAATACTTTAAGGATGTTGAGAAACAGTACATCGATGGAAAACAGAGAAAAGGGAGATTTCCCTATGGCAGAAATCTGCCAGGAATGTCATGCAGTACTTACAAAAAAGCAGAAAAAAACACCATCTAAGGCTTTTTACATATACAAAATTTCTGCATGTTGACTACAGCATGATATGGTAGAATGCAAGTTAAGGTTACTACCCCAGAGATGCTTTTTAAAACACATTTTATTATGTTTTTTTCTGAAGTCTGCAAATAAAGTAGTCTAATGGGGACGATAATAAGTGTTTTTTAATTTTTTTTAATAGATCATTTAAAAAAAGTTTTGTGGTAGAACAGCTTTTTAAGTAGATTGTTCTGATTTAAAATAAACCATTTAAGACATTTTTTCCTTGAATACCCTCTTGATGTTTGCAGAGCATCTTTTTTTAACTATTGCCTTTTTACGGGAAAAATAATGAAACTGACTATACATGAAGTGTTGCCCAATGGTGTAGTGATTGAGCACTTAGGCAGACAGAAAAATGCTTGTAAATGAAGGAGCTTAATTATCTTCTCATTGAGGACAGAGCAGCTAGTGGATCGGCTTCGTAAGGATTCCATGTTGGTGCCTGGTATCTGAAGTAGCTACTCTTATGTGTCTGTAATAAAGATTGAGATGTTATTTTGGTATCAGTGGTTTCTGTGTTTAGTATATCACTGTTGCGTCATGTAGACTTAGTCAAGCATGGGATCAGAGTCTTATCTGCTGTATGTGAAAACCACATATACCATGTGGTGTCTGTTTCCATTTAGTGTCTGGATCACAGTGGCTTCTGAATTCTCTTCGTGTCTTTTAGCTCAAACAAAAGAGAGATGCATATCTTTTTAGCTTGGTAGGTTTGTGTTGAGTCCTTGAAGAGGACAGCCCACCTCTGGGGCAGCCAAAAAAGCCTGAGGGGAAATACTTTGAATCCACTGAAGCTAATGAAAGTTCTGCCATTAATTCAAATGGAACCAGAACTTTTACCTTTCACATTTGCCTGGTAAGACTTGAGAGGTATCCTAAGCATTACTTTTATTTTTTAAGCTAATTGTTACCCAACAAAACATTCTCTTTCTTACATTTTAATATATGTATGACCAAGAAGAAGGCTCCTTTGAAGTGAAAAATAGTTTGAGTATGAAATCCCAGGTGGACTCAGTTCCCAAAAGAACTAAGTCCTTTAAAGAAATATAAATTGATATTAGGATATGATAGATATTAGGTTATGATTAAAGTGTTTTTGTGCTATTTTGCCTAATTTAAAAAAAGTAACAATAGGTATTAATTTTGAAAGATTTACAGTTATCGTGATGCATTTCCTGGTAACAGGAGTCTAATATGAAAGAGAGATTTTGCAGAACTTTTGGAGTTGGTTTAAAAGCTCAGATCATTGATTGGTATGTTCTTCTTGCTGTTCCACTTATTCACATTTCCTATTTTTACTACCTTTTTATGAGGTATTCTGTTTATTCTGCATGATTTAGATAGATGAGAATACTATAGTTTAGAATTTAAAAATTTTGCTACTGTAGAAAAGAGTTCATAATTCTTTCATCTTAATATGTTTTCATTGGATTCCAACCTATGTTCTATCTGCATTTTTTTTCTTTTCTGACTACAATTTCTGAGACTTTTTTCCACACCACCTCTACTTAGGATGTGCTTTAAATATTTCTTTACAAGTTAAATAACCCTTTCAACTCTAAAAATTCATTTATGCAGAATCCTATGAAAGTGAAATAATTCACTTTTAAATTGAAAAATTTAATTACTTGAAAGAAGAATTTCATAGCATGCATTTGCCAGAAGGAAACAACATAGGCTTAACCTTTTGTAATTATTAGGAAAAGAGGAATATAGGATTTGAAGGGGCCTCCTAATCTGTCAATCTCATTTCCTTTCATTTGCAAGCAACCCCTTGTCAAAAGGATGGATAAAATTGTTTACTCCCAAACCTTCTCAGACATCACAGACCCACATAAAGCAACCTATTAAAAAGAAGTTTCCCAAACCTATAGTATGCCCCAGGCAAAAAATAAGGGAGAGACCGTCATGAATGTATTACCACTGCTATGTCAGGGAGTTGTTGGGTTTAATATATGGTCTTTGACAATCTGATTTGAGGGAGAAATTCACGGTCCCAGTTTGAGGATCAGTTTGATCAGTTTGATCTTCAGAAAGTGAGCAAGACAGTTCACCCTAAGACATTTCAGAGTATATCAGCCAGCTCCTGCTTCTAGCAGTAGCCAGTATTTAAAGCAGTGGTTCTCACCCTTTTTGGGTGTAAGGCACCCTTCCAGTAACTTTCGTGAATTAAGTGGCACCCAAATTCAAAAATTATTTTACTTGTGAAAGTGCTTACTACTTTGCATAAATCCTGGGCAGTTGGGCCAGGAGAGAAGCCAAGGAAGGACAAACCTGAGCTTGTGCTTATCTGCTTATCTCCTCACACCTCATCACACCCTTTGAGGGATCTTGCAGCAGGCAGGGTTGAGAATCACTGATGTAGAGGAAGAATGACCAGCAAAACCCTATAGCATGGGATTACCAGATAAATTCATCTCTTTGTGGAAGCAGTTTTTTGTTCATTACTGTCAGGGTGATTTTAAATACTTGAATGCATATATTCAATACTTGAATTCACTAATTATTTCTCAACTACCCTATCATTTTGTACCTCCAACAAACTTATTAAGCTTCATCTTAATGTAAGTCAGGTTTTTTGTCTCACAGCACTTTGGAAGACTATTCTAATACTTCACTCCTCTTGTCACTAAAAGCCTTCCAGGCTAGATTTGTGACCACTTGGTACCACTTGTTCTTGTGCCAGTTTTATTCAAGTTAAGTAGTTCTCCTCTCTCCTTGTTGTTCAGTGCATGAATTTATTTATAAAAAGTAACTATGTCCTCTCATATTCCGCCCATCTGCTTGTAGCCCTCATTTGGACCTGTTCTAATATAAATCTTGGCTCTTCAACAGAGGTTGCAAGAACTGATATATATAGTCTATATGTGACTTTATCAATGCCTTGTACAATGGTACAGTTGTACTTTTCTACTAAAAGTACCCTGTCCAAAATAATCTAGAAGTTCATTAGCCTTTTGCACAGCCACATGTCACTGGCAGCTTATGGTTATCCTGCTGTTGACTTGTATTACCTGATCCTCATTCTGTATTGTAACTAAACTGTGACCCTCCATTTTATAGCAAACATTTCTTGATATTAATCTAAAGTGTGAAGTCATTCACTTTGACTTTTAAACTTCAGTACTGTTTGTTTCTCCATTCTACAGGGTTATTCAGTACTTACTAGGGGTGCACTGAAAGAGATTTTTGGGGCCAATACTGATAGCTGATTTTTAAGGAGGTATATCAGCTGATACTGATCAGATTTCCAATACCACCCAGCAGCTTAGAGAGCTGCATGCAGCTGGTAAGTCTGGTGTGGTGGAAGGGGGTGGGGAGGGAAGGAGAAAGAGGGGGACGACAGATCAAGGCCCCTGCGGCGAGGAAGGAGTGGAGCTGGGGTAAGCTCTGCCCAGCCGGGCCGAAGCAGGCATGGGACAGAGTCTTGGCTTGTCCAGGGGGTGCGGGGAGAGATGGGGGCAGCTCCTGCTGTTGCATGCCACTCCTCCGGGAGCTGCTGGTCTGTGGCGCTCACCTCATTTGGGAGGGCATGGGGGGGGGGGGGAATGTGCCCCTGGATCTGTGCAGGGTGGGGCAAGCCAAGAAGAGCCACACACAGCCATGGCCCCAGCCTGCCCCACCATGCGCACATCTGGGGGCACATGCCCCTCTCCATGCTCTCTTGGATGAGCAGCAGGAGCAGCCAGGAGAGCACTGGACCAGCGGTTCCTGGATGAGTGGTAAGCTGTGATGAGAGCCCCCCTCCCCCGTGCCTCTGGGACGAGCCATGGCTTTGCCCTGTGCCTGCCCCACCCCAGCTGGGCAGTGCTTGCACCAGCCCCACTACTCCCTCACCACAGGGGGCCTTGATGGGTGCCGCCCCATCCCCCTTTCCTCCCCCTCCCCTTCCCTCCTTTTTCCTCCCCTCTCCCCTTCTACCACACCATACTTATCAGCTGCACACAGTGCTCCAAACTGCTGGGCTGTGCTCCTCACTGCCTACGTGCTATGCTGCATCTGCATGTACGCATGGACATTTATCAGCCAAATTATTGGCCACATCAGGCTGATTTCCGATATGATATGTTTTCTTTATACTGGTGCTGATCCAATATCAGGCCAATGTATCGGTGTGCCTCTAGTACTTATTACTTAATAATCCTGGTCTCTTCTAGATTAGCAGTATCCCCCAGTCTAGGTCCTGGACAGATAACGTTAAGGCTAGGGATGGACATTACACATAAACTGGATTAAGTGATCAGAAACTGGTTTAAACCTGTAACAGAACAGATGTTCAGTGAACATAAACCAGTTTGAAAATGGCTGAAACCAATTTGAGATAAACCTGGTTGAATGTAGTATCAGACTTAACTGATTTGGTTCAAACCAGTTTATGCA